AGCTGAGTGTCTTTGAGCGAGGAGTCCTCAGAAGGATTTATGGTCCAGTAAAGGAGGGTGATGTCTGGAGGAAAAGAAAAAATAGGGAGCTCAGTTCTCTCTATGCAGACATCGACGTAGTCACGTATATTAAACTGGCCAGACTAAGGTGGGCAGGGCATGTGGCCAGAATGAGCACCCTTGAAATACCAAAAAAAATAATGATGGAGGAGCTGCACCTCGTAAGACGGGTAGGAAGGCCGAGGACGAGATGGTTGGACAACGTGGCCTATGATGCGAGAACCCTGCTTGGTGTGCGGAACTGGAGAGCTGCAGCAGAAGACAGAGCCAACTGGCGGAGGCTCTTGGAGGAGGCCCAGTCTCGGTAACGGGATGTTGTGCCATACATGAATGAATGAATAGCGATGTGTACAGGTAGTTGTCTCTGGCCAGACTGGTACAGTGTATGTACAGTGACCAGCAAAAGTTTTCATTCATGGATTGATGGGTGATTAAACAATCAACAACAATTTTTTCCTACATTTATTTTTTATTTAAACGCGTAATTATAACTTCAATACCACTTTTATCAATTTTCTCAAAAATATGTGGCTAACAATAAATACGAAAATGTGTTTTTGGAGTTTTAATTCAATTTTATTAATTAATTTTAATCAACTTTAAAGACGGGAAAATCTATTCTGAGGTAATGGAAAAATTGCCAACACATTGACAGAAGTGTATTAATAGTACTGGACACTATTTTGATTAAATAAAACAGTTGTAAGTCTTTCTTTTTGAACCAAAATCCTGCATTGTTTTCCGGACAACCCAATCGATAGGTAGATAGATAGAAAGAAAGCTTTATTTCATATAAATTATACATATTACTTTTTATTGTTGTTGTTTCTTTCTTGAAAATAATATTAAAATTGTGCTGTCTTTCATTTCTTCTTTTATCTATCTCTTCTACTGTTTCTAGATTTACATCACTGCTTCAGGCTATATTTGATACCGTATTGTGCAACAAAAAAGTTTTCTTTAAAATTATACGCAATACTTACAAACATAATATGTAAAACATACCTGATACATATAATCTAAATAAAATTTAATTTGTCAAAAAATAAATATTTTTTGTTGCATAACATTAATAAATAGGAATGCTTTTACTGTTGTTTATATATAACTAAAGAATTGTATATGTTGCATTGCTGAATTAAAAACATTCTATTATATATATATAAGTATATATTTGTAACATCTGTAAACTGCTCCAATCTTTGCCATTGAGTATGTCTGTGAGTTCATTGCGGTTTATGATTTTTTTTCTTAAAATATTTGATTCTATATTCCTGTAAAATTGGACAAACAGCTTCATAGTGGTATACATTCTTTATTACATTTAAATTAAAAAGGCTACACAATCTTTGTTGCTCACTGCTCATTACGCTATTGTTGAGAAACAATAATGATGTATTGGTGGATTCTGTTTATTGTGGGTCCGGTGTTATTGAAGTTTGCTATATTCTGAATGACGGAGATTGAATCAGAAAATGTTACTATTTTCGAGCTTTCTATATTTATTGATAAATGTAATGTTGCAGAAATAACCTGCAATTTTGCCGTATATATTGTTGAGATTAGGGGTAATTGATACTTATTGGATATCCCATTTATAATTACTGCGAAACAGAATTATCATTCTGTTTGGATCCATCAGTGTATATAATTTCATGATCTGAATATTTTTTAGTTTCTTTTAGAAATTTAAATTTTTTGAAATCTGAGTTTTTTTTGCTTAAAAGTGAGGTCTATTTCAACTGGTTGGTATTTCCAGGGTGGCAATCTAAGACAAAAAAAGCAAAAAAAAAAAAGCAACGATAGAAAAATTGTATCCATCTTTTAAGGAAGACATTAGTTGGTTATTGTAAAATGGAACATACTAAAACGTGAACGTTTTGAGAAAATTTGGGGAAAAGAAGTTTGTTGACTATTGTATCACTTTCATATGATTAAAATAGTACTATTGCCCTAAAAATTCAAAAATACTGGATTTCATATTCTGCAAACTCACTACAGATAGTAGTAATGTCAGACGTAGATTGGATCAAACTGTTCCTGCTCTTTCCAGAATTTCCAGGATGAAAACTTTAAGAACGGAATTTCTAATATAATGAATGAGGATGAGGAATAAAAAGATTTGAAACCCCTCCCTGCATCGATACTGAATACAGTCTTTCCGATGAAGACGGGTTGTTGGCATCATTCTGGAACTTGGAGCCCAAAGCGGAATCCTCTCGGCCATCACAACCTCACTAATGTTTTGTTACTGAGGTAACAGGGTGAACGATGATGAGTCTTAAAGTGTTTGATTTGAAAGTTTGGTATTTTATGGTTTTGAGTCTTAACTTCCCCGCTGATTTGTGATGCATAAGTCCATTTGAAACATCAATCCATGCAAGTGGATTTGAGTAAGTTAGTGAAACCTTTAGTTTTGGTCTTATTTTTAAAGTAGAAAGTATTCGTAAGAGAGAATACAGAAGCCGTAGTACATTATTTAGGATAAGACTTTTTTTGAAGTGAAAACTTCTTCGGCGCATTTTGCACTTTTTTTTTGTAGAGATTAAATCGTTAGATCTCTGATGTGTAAAGTCGGCTAATTGAAGTGTTTTTGCACTTGAAGTGTGTTTGATCCAATTCTTCAATTGCAGTTGGCGTGGTGATTTAACTGAAACTTCTGTGGCGAACGCATTTTTTTTTCTGCGACTCGCGTATCAATTACATCTTAAACAATTGATCTTACCTCGAGTATAACAGTTGTCGAATCGTTTAATAGGGCGACCAATATTCAAAGAAGAAGTATTTAGCGAAGTTTCTTCACCACAAGCACTCAAATTTTATTTTGAATTTACGTCTGTAAATTTTTTTTTTCGTATAATTTTTTAATTATTTTATAAAATAATTTAAGAAGGGCTATTGGGATTTTTGTATCATTTGTACTTGTGAAAACTTCCAATGGGTATTTTGTTGTCCTTAGTATGGTGTTGAATAGGGTTCTTAGATAGACTATCGCTTTTCTGGGCATATGTTCGATTAGCTCAGCAGCGATGAGATTACCTGAGGAGGCCGAAGAATCTTGAGGAAGGACCGGACGGATGCGGTGCGGACAAGGTGCGCCTCCATCATAAAAGTGCACAACCGTGTTCCGGGCTGCACCACAGCTAACCCAGTTTATGATTGGTCCAAAATTAAAATTTTCCTAAAATAATATTTTAAAAAAATGATTAATAAAGTGTTGTTTATTGACAGCCGTGGACATACGAGAACCCAATCGCATTAACTCACTGCTGCCAAAACCCCGCATGGCAGCAATGCCAGGAAGGAGGAGGGAAAAAAAAGTTTAGATCGTATACTGGTTATTTTCTTTTGGGTTTTCGAATCGCTTGTAGTACTTCAGATGGAGTAAATGCCGGAGGAAGTAATGTTAGTGGTAAGGAGATCTCAAGAGAATCTTGTATATAATTTTCATGTTCACCCTCTGGGTAGTTTGTATGCGGTGTCAAGAAACTCGATAGACGGTAAGCAAAGAGTTCAGATTTTTCTCTGTCTGATACGACCCAGGAACCATCCTCTTTTCGTATTGACGCTGGCACGTAGGGATACTTAAGTAGCTTTTTAATTTGTCTCCATAAGCTTCCATCGTCAGTGCTGAGGTTATTTATCTTTGCCTTCGATAATATAGCAAGTGATCTTTATTTAGAAAAACATCGAAACTTTACAAAAAATCGGACGTTGAATTTGACTTGGAAAAGGTTGAATTTGATTTGGAAAAGGTTGAAATTGACTTGGAAATGCTATATTTAATGATTTTTTAATAATATTTTATTATTTATATTATATTAACTTTGCATGTATTGTTATAGCACTAAACAGTTTAGTAAAAAAACATAATTACTAATAAAAAATAATTTCATTTTTTAATTTTCTTTATTTTGTTTTAAGTTGGGGCAACATTTGCTGGACAATTAAATTACTACATTAATAATTGTTCGTTAATACAATCGAATTAATATACAAAAAACGTTATTACAGCTCTGTATTATTTAGAATTACTGAATGATGTGGAAGAGACCTGTAGACGCCTACGTCAGTATCACTTTTCCACTCAAGTGTATTTTCTAGGGAACAGCATCAAATGTTTAAAAAAATAATCAGTATTTTAGAAAGAGAAATGTTTTATTTCAGGTTGTTTTTCGTTATTGAAGGACGTTTAATTACAAACGACGCATGATTTTTAATTTGTAAAAGTTTTATTTTGAAAAAATATACTTGTGTTTTTTATTGCCTAAAACAATTATTGTTTAACATTTTTTCATGTTTTATTATTCTCTGTGTATCCAGCTAAGCAAAAAGCCAATTATGACGAAATTAAGCCAAATGCTGATTCCCGCTGACCAATAAACTGAGTCGTCATTGCCATGCTTGGATGCCATTTTGGGGCAGTGCGGCCACTTTTCTGTGTTATAGCATTGCTATTTTGTTTTTGTTTTTTAATAAATAGTTACAAGAAGCACAACGATATGCAATTTATAGGGATATAGGGGGTTGTAGGAGGAGGTGCATGGTTATGATGTATATTTATTTGATATAAAGGCACTCTCTTTAAACAAATAATAATAAATAGGTGTTGCAAAACTCTCATATATGTGTTTCTAGAGGTTCTAAAAATGATATAAAATACACCTCTCATCATCTCCCGCCGACTTTCTATGCAACAGTCCATTATTTTCGGGAATAATAGGTCTAAAAAAGGGATGTTGGTAGAAATTTTTCGGGAAGGGGACATCTCGAATTTCTGAGAACGTACTGTATATCGTTCGCATTTATTTTGTGCAGACCAGGACTCAAATATGGTTTGCATAAAACAAAAAACAAAAGTGTAACATGAGTATAGGTTGCAATAAGAGTTTACATTACACTGTAGGCAGCTTTACTTATTCTAATTTGTAATTACTTAATTCATTTCACATAACAGTATTTATTTATATTTTTACGAGAAAAGTCTAGAAAAAATGAGAAAAATTTGAAAAAAAGGGAAAAATTTGGAAAAGTCGGCAAATGTTCGGATCCCTTTCTCTTCATGATGGTTAATACTGTTAAATTGATATTACTCCTCATCTGGTTGAAATTCGTCAATGAATTTCAGTTCTTCATTATCTTCTTCCTGTTCTGTTGATTCTCCGTCAATAAGAGGAACCTGCTGATCCTTGGATGTGTATTGAATATCTTTTAATTTTTCGGCTAATAATGTTTCTGATGAAAATTCATCTTGTTCAGGTAACCTACAATAGCATTTTAAAATTTAATTAAGATAACAACCGATATGGTGATAAAGTGTGCTATTTTAGTAAGAGGTAAATTATTTTTTATTTTAGTGTGTTAAAATAATACTTAATTGGCAAAAAGTGATTTCATTAAAGCTTTTTTGCCCATTGAAGAGATTTGAACAGTTGTGGGATTTATTTTAAGATTTTTATTATGAGCTAACTAACGCCCAAAGGCTTCGGTGTATAGAATTCTTGGACGAGTTGGATACCACCACAAATAATAATTCTTAGATTCAAGAAGGTGTCAAGAAGCATGTTACAGGTCACAAACACATATTTGAAGTCTGTGAAGAAACAAATAAAGCTAAACAGCCAACTATCAATGTATCCCACCCTTCAACTCATAACAGGTATAAAATTTTAGCCGACTTTCCAAAAAAGAATTAGAAAATTTACCTCTGAAACAAGTGATATCCAAGGAACCGCCTTTTTTTTCTATTTATTTATTCAGAAATATTACAATCCGTCACAATTAAGGACATTTATAATAGTGTTCAGAGAGCACATTCACACTCTATTTACAATAAATAAAATAAATAATACAGAAATTAATAATAATAAAAGTAAATGTATATAAACAAAAGAACTGAACTAATCAAAATAACAACTAAGACACATGCATACTATACAATATTCGTAAACAATCTAAAAGTACGGTTTGCATCTACCCCTTACTGTTACCGAGACATCATCAATTTTTTAAGAAATGGAAGGAATTGATAGGAATAAATGACTTAGCTACATGATGTCCGGCGTTTATAATTGAGAATTTGCATCAATAATTATCACCAAACTTGGAGAAAAAAAAAATTATGAAGCAGTTAATACAGATCCGCCCTTCCCACCAATGGCAATGACGTCATCTTCCCCCTTGAAAAAGTACATTTATTTTGTTCATAAGTCGTAAGGGAGATGTTTTTAATGAGTTATATAAAAATCTAAACAGCTTTTCTCTCCCATAAATTTCTTTCATTAATTTATATGTGAAGTTTCTGGGTTTATTTTATTCCATCTTTGTATCATCTTAATTTATCATAAGACCTGTCATTTTTCTATTAAAATCCCTTAAAAAGAGCTTTTGGCACTTTGAGTTTGACTAGGCAACATGACCTCAGACCGGCAAATGATGATGGTGGCAACGACGATGATGGCAACCAGGTTCAACTCGCAGATCACAGAACAACCCTACCTCACCTTACCATATCTTAAATCTCAGCTAAGTTTGATCTTATGCAATATTCCTCCCAAATAATAATATGTTAATGTTAAAATATTTTATGGCACTATCTCAAACCAATCTATGTGTATCATGTATTCATTTATAGTCTTTATTAAATTTATTGAATCATTTTTTATTTAGAGTAATTTTTCTATTGAGCATATTTTAAATGAATAAATCAAGTCTTTTAGTAAGCTTATTGTAAATTAGTAATATTGGTAACTAGAAAGTTGATGAACACAAACCAGTCTCAGAAAAAGGAAACTCAATTAATTAATTCTGAACCATTTAATATGTTATATATATATATATATATATATATATATATATATATATATAAATTTCTTTTTTATTTAATATTTCTGTTATAATTATCCTTAATGTTTATCCAATGGCATCCCAAAAGTAATTTCCTCTTATTCCATAGCAATACAATAATTTTAAAATTTTATATTTTATAAAATTACCTACTTAAGAGTTACAAAGGATCCAAAAAAACAAAACAACAAAAAACAAATCTTATTTGTTTTTTCATGACAAAAATTTACTTGGACAATATGTACTACTAAATAATACTAAGGAGAAAATTTAAGAATTTACTAGAAGTGCTTGTTGGTTTTTGTAATTTATTATAGTTTATAACTCATTTAATACCATAGTCAAAATGTTTTTTTAATCTGACATAATTTACAAGTTTTATATTCAGTTCCACGAAAACTAGTATTTGGTCCCACTGCGCCGTTGTGGACGAGCCCTAATAACACCGATTTAGAATGAAGTAAAGATTGTCATTTTTAAAACCATTTAAAGAGGCCTATTGAACAGACAAACTCAGCAAAGTTTCGTTTAAAAAAACTCATATATTATTTCCGATTTTTTTTTATCAACCTTCAACTGTACAAAAGTTTCCCCACTTTTATTAAAATTTTCTTATTTAATAAGATTTAAGTCTATATTAACTATTTTGAGCTAAAACACATCACACGGTGTTATCAGCAGAAGTTACTACAATTAACTATTTTTATAATACTATAATGCTTTTATTTCTGGTTTTCCGTGATATGAGACGTATTGTAATAAACTTAATTGGCAAAAACACATTTTATTTAAATAGAAAAACGTCTTGCCAATAAGGTCAGCATAGCTTCCTCGCCGTTTTCATTAGCTAAAAAATATTTATATTATAAGCTCTAACATTTTTCATATGGGAATGAAATTTCTGGGAGAAGCCATTTTCGGAAATCCAGTAATTCCCAACATATACGGTTTTGATATAAACGAGTTTTGTTCTTCAGCGATTACTAAAATGTGAAAGAGTTCGCAAATGCAGATTGCATATCTGATAATTATAGATAAAGTAAAAGATCCAGTGTATTCTGAACATGCATATCACACATGCATATTTTGAATTCCCAACAAATTAATTAGATTAATTTTAATGTCTTTGCAAAATAGTGAAGGAAAGGTGCTGGTTGGAGGTAACCACATTAATAAGTTCTCTATTGGGAGTGGGGCCTGGCAACGTTTCTGCCACACTGTTCAATCTAGCCCTACATAAAGTTGTAAGCAATTTAAACATAAACAGCAATATCCTTCATTAATGTATCCAGGTTTGTGCTTATGCAGATGACATCTGTCCAGTAGCCCCGAATACCCCAACTCTCAAAGAGTCATTTACTATTTTGAATGATGAGAGTGAAAACATAGTGAGAGTAAAATACATTAGCCTCTCGGTTGACAGAATGACTAACTTCAATTTAAAAATTTTTTTTTATTGTTAATTTTAGTGATATTTCTAGTGGAAAAATTTATAGCACGGAACCTTGTCATGAAACGGGGAGTCTAAGTTGCATCGAATGGGGGTAGAAGGTTTCTTTTTAGTTTCTTCAATGGGATGGGACTGAGTTATAAAATCCAAGTTTTCCACTTCGGCGCTCCCCTCCCCGGATCACTATTAAAACCCCCAAAACTGCTATATTTTCGCACTTTTTGAGTTTTTCTCGATTTTGATCATGAAGGAGCACGTTATCGACAAAAAAACAGTTTGAAGTTTAGTTTTGAACAGTTTTAAACTAGATTAAATATGCTACAATTTAAGGCCAAAACAGGTTGAGTAAGCATAATAATTTTTGAGATACAAGTTTTCAAAGTTTTGGAAATTTTTCGAACTGGAAACTTTTAAGCTAGTTTTCCTACTTGATCATATGCACTTGTCTTTATTTCTTTAATAATCTGTCATATATGATTCAGTGAAGTAAATTTTTATTTATTTTAATATTTTTAAGGCGGGGTGGTGGGAGTGGAGAGGTTAGGAGGGAGAGGGGGAGATCACTGTTCACAAACAGAAAACTAAAATTGATATAAAAAATTATTTAACCAATATTTACTACAAATGTATAAAAAAATTGTAAACGAAGTGAATACAATTTTCGAAACTTGAAACAATGTTAAGCTAATTTCATTTTTATATCTTCAATAACCTGCCTTATAAGAGTTAGAAAAGTAAACATTTATTTAAGTTATTATTTCGAAGGAGGATGCATGGATATATAAATGGCTATAAATAATTGATAAAATAAGTGAGCTAGAATTGCTTGAGTCATTTATTGCGTTCGATCTTTTTCGTAGGTGCCTGCATTTATCTTTCTAAATCACTGATTAATTTTTAACAAATTTGAAAGATTTGCCACTGCTGCCTTTCCGCAGATTAAGTGCATTTCCTAACGAAATATTTCAAATTTGTTATAAATTAATCATCGATTTAGAAAGATAAACGCATTTTTTCAAGGCAATTTTCGTTATTTTAGCCGTTTAATTACAAATGACGCTTGATTTTCAACTTAAGTTTGAACGACTTGAAAAAATTGTCTTTACTAACTTTTTATTGCCAAGGCCAATATGTTTTAATTTTATTTTTTTTTTATGCTTTATTATACTCTGACTATCCAGCTTTAATGAAATATCAATTATCACAAAATTAAACTAACTGCTGAATCTCAGTGACCGAAAAACTAACTCAAATCAAAGTCGTTACTCAACCATGTTTGGAATCCATTTTGGGACAGTGCGGGATTTTTTTTTGTGGGAACATTGCCCTATTTTTTTAAATATATAGTTACAAGGAACACAACGATATGCAATTTATAGTGATGTGGAGGGAGGGTGCACAGGAGGCTGGCCCGCGGACTACACACTTCCACCGACGCATTCCCCCTCCTCCATCACTCCTACTTCAAAATATTAAAATTAATAAATATTTACTTCGCTGACTCATGTAAGAGAGATTAATGAATATAAAAGAAAATTCCATATGATCAATCATAAAAAATAATATAAATGGAAAATAAAATTTCTTAAAATTTGAAAATATATATCTCGTAAACTATTTGATTTCCTGAGCCTATTATGGTTTTAAATTGTAGCATATTTAATCTAGTTTAAAAATATATGAATGTTTTTCGTCGAAACGTGCTCCTTCATGGATAAAATGGGAAAAAAGAGCAAAACGTTTTTGGGAGATTCCAAAGTGATCCGGGGGAGGGAGAGGGCGCTGAGGTCGTAAACCTTTATTTACCTTTCATTCATCCCATGCAAGAAAATAAAAAGAAACCTTCTATTCTATTCAATGTCACTAACGATGTACAAGATTACTGGGCTATTATACCTTTATTCACAGTTCTACATATCAATATTGCAATCACCTACACAGGAATCAACTTACTGTCTTACAGATATTATAAATTTTCCTACTAGAAATATCACTAAAATGACTTTTCTAAGAAATGTTGAAATTGGAGTTAGGTTGGAGAGCTAGGGCAGACTACTGATGTACTGACCAAAGATGGATATAACTTTAAAAGGGCCATTTTATCTACCTGGGAGCGGAATTGAATCAGGAAAATAAAATGGTGGATAATGTAAAAGGAAGGATTATTGCTTCCAAACGAGCATACTATGAAAATTTTCAGATCCTTGCTGTTATCGTGTCACTCAAAATGTATGACCCTTTTATATATGACCCTTATTAGGCCAGTTGTTACTTATGAAGCTGAAACGTGGACTCAGCTGGACGTGGACGCCTAAATGAATAGTAGCTTGAACGTTTTTAATGAAAAATATTAAGCAAGATTTACGAACCGTTGTTCAACAATGAGTCCAATACATGGAGGACCCGCAGTTATAAGAAATTATATTCCCTGTTCCAAGACACCAATATGGTGCAATCATGTGATAAGGATGCCTGCCAATAGAATACCTAGCAGGTTACTGTATGGTAAAATTATTGGGAAACAAAGAGTTGTTTAGCCACTCAGACGATGGATGCAAGACATGAAAGAAGATTTCATTGGGTGTTGACAATGGAAAGAGAAGGCAACTGATTGTGAGGAATGGAGTCGAATTGTTCCGGAAGCCAAGACCTATCCGAGCTTTAGAGCTGCAGAGTAAGTTAATATATTACATCATTTTTTTTTTACCTTTGCCCTACTACACTAACTATCTAAACAATCTAGTCAAACTAAAGTCAATTCATCAAAAATTAATTTTTTTTTTTAGTTGATAAAGTTGACAAAAATGTTTTTATAAAAGAAACAACGGTGCCGGAAAGAACCAATGTGTCTAAAGATTCTAAAATTTGTATTCTCCAGGAGTCAAATGCGCTTTCAAGATCTTGGAAAACTGCAATAACGGTTGGTTCTTATCAAAAGATGATTTTAAGAAGGAGTTAAATTTGAAAAGAAGGTGTATTGTTGATCTGGATTTTCGAAATCCGCATTGTTCTAAATCGAGTAATTTTGGGTTTCTTTTTTTGGGGGGATTCCCACAAGAGACGACGATTTACCATTTTCTCAGTCAACATACATAGAATGGAACTGAGATCGCTAGACCTATCACCTTGAATTAAATTAGGATCTTTCAAGAAATAATCATCAAATTTTGCGCAGCTTCGCACTAATTACCGTATTTTTTAATTGGTTTAGAAAACATATACAAATGTTCTGGGCTCAAATGTTATTAATATTATGGGCTGTATAATAAAACTTACACCTGTTTGAAAGACAATCTAGTCCTGTTTACATACAAAATTAATGAGCGTTGGAAAAAATGCTCGAAAAATAATTTTATTTTATTTTAGAGAAATATGTCGTAGGTGAAGTATATTTTGTGACTAGCACCAGTTTTCTTCAGGCTTCTAGGAAACAGGGGGACCGAATTATGCTTAATTTAATCCTTAATGGTTTTAAAAAAATAATGAGCTGAAAATAGAAGATTATAATTTAGCAGGGGTGTCCAGAAGAGGGCTGTATGGCCCATGTTACACCGACAAACTTTTTGAGGAAGCAAATTTTTACGGGAATATGGATTTTTGAAGGGAGTACATATTTACAAACTGTGTAGACAAGGAAAAAACGAAGGAAATGAAAAGATAATTTAAATTACAGTTAGAAAGCCTTCAGCCAGAGATTCAGCTTCTAATGATGCTGATTCTAAGGTTGATAAAATAGATGAAATTAATTTCAATACTTCTTTACAGTTTTTCTTTTTATTATTCTTATTGTTATTTTTTTAATCTTATGAATTATGATTTGAAATTATAATTTTCTTATATTAAATTTTCATTATAAATTAAATTTATATTGACTTAAATAAGACTATAAAAGTATTATTTTTATTTATATGTGACGACTACATGATTTCGAATCGACTACATGATTTCGAATCGGAACTTATGCTCAATGAATTTTGTTCTTGATTGGCTATCGGTCCCACTGCGCCGGCGGCCAGTGGATGGGAGTGTTAAAATTATAATATTAAATATAATTTTATTATATTATAATATTAAATATAATTTTATTATATTATAATATTAAATATAATTTTATTATATTATAATTTTATTATATTATAATATTAAATATTATTTTATTATATTATAATATTTAATATAATATTAAAATTAATTGTACCAGTAAAAAACTCTATTCCCATTTTGCTGTTCTATACTATGACGTTTCGGTTTAAACATCTTTCCGAAATTTGAAACATTGCTTCCGGATCTACCGATGACAGATATGTGAGGTCAGCTTAAACTATTTTGTTTACTGTTTTTATTTGTGTATCATAAAACTATCAACAAATAATAAATCAGGTACAATTTCCAAATCGCGATCTTGTTCTGTAGTTTACTATACCTCACCTCTAATGAATAAGGTATTTTAAAAGTGGAAATATGATGCAATATTATGTTCGCTAATGCCGAAATTAAGTTTTATAAATATCACTTACTCTTTCTTCAGAGTTTTAACTTTATGGCCCGCCAGTTTAGGAAGGATTGGAAGATTTGGATAATCATTTTCCATTTTCATAATAACTTCACGATCACATGATACGCACTGTAAATTCCTGAAAATGATAATCAGAAAGAGTATTGATATAGAGAAATAAAACACATATATAAATTAAAATATTACACAAACTATAAAATATTATACAAACTATGATTGAATTGGTTATTTCAGAAACAACATATGTGGTATTATTACGATTTTGTAAATTATATAAATTTTGATATGGTGCGTGCATGACAAAATTTTCACTTAACACCCTACTCTGAGTAAATTGAAGTGACAGCAAAAATTATAGACGGTACAATATATTAATTTATTACAATTGAGTGGCTTCATATCAAAGAAGAACATTTGTAATTTCAGAAAGTTGAGAAAATTCAATTTTCGTTTTATTTATTTTTTAAGTGAAAAGCTTTTGGACTTTTATCGTGGGTAGTGAATGAGACTCAGCCGTCACGCTCGAATATGTAACGCTCATTCGTGTTAAGTCGGCTCGAGTCGACTAATTTAAGTTTTTTTTTGCATTTGGATTTAAATATCTCGGAAATTAAAAATCGAACCTGCATACTGTTAGGGAGGGAAATGTCCAACATTTCATTCTCTTTGTGATGAGCTATTATTTAAAATTGCGTCTCAACGCGATGCTGTATTAGAGAGGAAAAAAGGGATAACAATAGTGTCGAAAACAAAATGAGTTTTGTTGAACATATTGATTAAAACACCTCAAAAACTAAAATTTGGACCTGCCTAATGTAAGCAAGAGAAATGTTTAGCATTTCATCCTCTTGGTGATGAGCTATGAATCAAAATTGTATTTTGACGTTACTCCGAGTTAGATAGTTGTAGAGGAAAAAATATAGCGCCCAAATACCAAATAATATCAACTGTTTTGAACTGAAATATCTCAAAATTTAAATACCATAGAGAATTCGGAAACAAATTTGTGGAAGTCAATATAGATATTTTTATAATTAGTTATAATAATAAGAAATTATGTGTTGTTATTCGATCTTCTGTTGCATCCATTGATTGAGTTATGACCAATTTCTGGCACCCAATGCAGCACTTATATTAAAAATTGGGGAGTTTTTGTTAGATGTTTAGCAAATATTTTTCAATCCAAATTATTCATCACATATTTTAGTTATCATAAATCTATTGTATCATTATTCGAGTTTATTAAAAATAACGATCATTCAGAGAAAATTTCACTAGAGTAATTTACACACAATTGTTATTGTAAACGTATTATATTATCAATCTCGCCTTGTTGATGTTTACATTTCTGTCGTGTGGTCTAAAACATAGACAATATTTTTTTTATTTATTGACTTAAGTATTTAATATGTTTTGATTACTGAATTTGCTATTTGCAAAGTGTTTTATTTTTTTTTTAAGGAAATCTGCACACTTCCGGGTATAGGTTAAGTTAAGAGATCTCTTGACCACCGCCAGTCCTCGGGGTTGGATGTACGGGTTAGAGTCGGAATTAAGTGTTTGGGATAATGGGTTCATGATGGAAATCAGTATCTGGTGGAAGTCTTTATTGTATTGTGTTGCAGTGTCTGAAACCGGTGGATGTCCAGGTCCTTGTGTAATAATGTGGGCGGGGTGGCCGAATGGGCTAACGCGTGTGCACTGCACCGCCGTTGGCTGGCAACCTGATATATAACACTTTGATAAAAAAAATAGTCACGAGTTCGCGTCCCGGTGCCCGGAGGAGTTTTTAAATCCCCGCCCACACTCCCTGGCCCGGGAAAACCTCCGTATAGCCTTAGAGGCGAGAAAAAAAAAAAGAAAAGAAAAAAAAAGTCCTTGTGTAATTTCATTTATCACATAGAAAGGTGCGTCTGCAGTTTTTCTCAAAACCTTTGATTAAAAAGTTTGAATTTTGTGAATATTATACTTTTTCTCAGTGCCATATACCTTTATGACGTAATAAATGTTTCATAATTGATTTGTTGATAGCAAGTTTGTTAGTTAATGATAATTTTGAAAGTCTGTCAAGTAGCCTAGATTACAGTCCAAATGTTAAAAATAACTGTTTAGTTGTTTTCTTTTCAGTCTAGTATAAGTTCTCCACGTCAATCTCATCTCTTGTTAAATTCCCAAATAACGCACTTATTCTGAAGTATGGATAGTAATATTATTGAAAAAACCCGGTATCTACCATGATTCAGTGCAAAAACAAAAAATACGCTTTTCGTCTCGTTCATTTTTACTTTCCACCTGGTAGCTCAATTAAAAATATCACCAAGATGGTCCTGTAGGAAAAGAAATGTGATAATTGGATTTTGGTGAGGCGTAAGTAAGTAGTTTAGTATCGTCGGCAAATGTTGCCAGTAAAGGAAGGTCCTCTTCTGGTAAGTCTGCAATGAAAATGTTGAAAAGTAACGGCCCCAGTAAGCTGCCTTGGGAAACTCCTGCTCTGACACGTTTTATGATGAATAATTCGTTGCCTACTTTATATGTGAAGTGTATATCTCAAGTCAAGTTAAAAGTAATATTAAATAGTAAGTCGAGGGAAGCAAAATTTTGAGCATGGAAAGCAATATCCTTCTTTCTAAACCTTATCAAAAGCTTGACTGACGTCAAGGAAAGCGGCAGGGTAATACTTTTTTTACTCCAATGCACTGAAAATGTAATCTACTAATCGATGACATTGTTCTATGGTTGAATGATGTTTTCTGAAGCCGAACTGATGATTTGAAATAGCTTTCAATTTGTCAAGAGAATGTAGACGATGACGAAGACTTTTTCAACAAATTTTAAAAAGGAAGAAGGCTAATAAGACGATATTGATCCTCCTTCGACTAGGCTATATTCTAGGAATAGTTATGGCAATAGTAAGAAAGAGGATTGCTTTCTCAGGCAAGTTCTTAAGAACAATATTCGAAATTAAGTCGTAATTCGGGGATTTGTTTTTGGTAAATTTTCAATAAAACTATGTACTTCGTACATGTACATCTGTATGGGAGGTTAAGTTGTTGTAAAACCAGTTCGTTGATGTCTGACTGTGGCTGGAACGTTTTCTCTTAATGACAAGCAACTATTTCAGCTTTTTGGCTGTTTGATTTTGCCCATGTACCATCAATATTTTATCGTGTAATATTATTGTTAGTTTGTCTTTGTTGTCTTTATCTATAGGATGACGATACACACACGGTCACGCACATACGCACAAACACAGCATTATTATAAAACACCTAATATGCCATAAATACTCCATATGCCAGATGGATAGAGATGTTGCTCATTCCTCAATATAAGCGGCCACGTTTCTCATCCATAAAGAAACGAAGGTAGGGTAATGGTTTTATAATACAATACAATTTATGGTACTGTAATTGAATACATGTCTCATTTCGTCGACTTGAAGACCTCATGACCGAGAGCGGAGGGGTTTATTGTTTATCAAAGGTGTTTTTTTGTCGGTAAGCCATATCATCGTTAATTCTTCATCAAGTGCACAAAATTGAGTCAGAAATTTTGAAGGTTTCCTTCTCGTTCAGGCGGGAAAAATAGTCCAACCACCAAGAAAACTCAGGAAAAAAGTTATGAAAGAAAAGAAACTTTACTTGCGAAAAACTCAAAAATTAAACACTTTTCTTTTGGCTAAGTCAATGATTATATAAAATATTACTAAATTTCCTACATAAGAAAAAAAAATTATCGAAATAAGACAATTATCAAAAATACAGCTTATTGAAATTTGTGAACATGTTGGTTTCAAACATTAGAGAAGTTTTCAATTATTTTTTTTTTGCTTTGTCAATTATATAAATTGATTTCTTTTATGATACGTTACATTATTTTATTTTCATAATTATTTATAATTTGGTTACTGAACAATATACTGTACGAATTTTCACACGGACCTACTAGTTATAATTATTGTGAAACAGAAAAGGAAACACAGTATAACGTACATTGAAAATATTAGAAATAATGGGCTCAAATTTTTGTATTCGCTTATGTAAAGCTGGAAAAGTTAAATATATATTGTGGTTACAAATTGGCGATACGAATAATTATAATTATATAATAATATAAATTTGCCATAAGGCGCGATCAATAATATGTTATAGATTTTTAAAGAAATTAAAAATTTGTTCGAACTGTGTTTCATTTGTTCGTTCAGTTTATTTTATGTTGATAAAAAATAATACAGTCTGAACTAATAGATGTAACATACAGATATATAATTTGAGCAGAGAGAAGAACAATCAAATGAGCAGTTTTATAATTGTAAAATTGTGATTGGTCCGCCGACAGGGGATACCTCCCCTAATGTGTATATATATAAATATATATATATATATATATATATATATATATATATATATATATACACATATACGAGTGATGAATATTTAGTAAACTTGTAAACTTATGTTATTTACTAATTTAACTTGATACAATTAAGATTTGTTGAAACGAGAGGTTGTGAATTAAATCATACTTCAGGAATTTAGATTTTCCTCCACGAGCTTGCAGTCCATATTCCCCATACGCAGACGTAATTAGAATATTTACCATCCTCTTAGTATCACTTGTTAATTTTTTGGCTAGTTCGTGAAAATCTTCAATACCTAGTTTTGTCTCTAGAGTTTCCTCGAAGAAATCAATCCATTTTTTCCAAAACAGCTTCTATAATTCAAATAAAGTAAACACGTTTAAAATATATTTCTGCAATAATTATAAATTTATTAAAGTTTTCTGTGTTATTAAATATTTCAAAGCACAAATAAAAGTGAAATCTAAAATATATATTAAAACCAAATATTTTCTATTCAAAAAACAGATTGAAGACAAAACTTTTATATGGGGAAGGCGGGATAAGACGACGACTTTACTATTTCTCACTCAGAAAGAAATTAAGAATTCTCGCTGGAGTATACTAGTTTGATATTATACTACAAAATCCATCATCTTTATTAAATTTTGCTGATAATAATAATAATTATAATGATAAATACAGTACAAAATGTTATCAAATTTAGGGCCATCAATTTTAAAATTATACTATGATGTGAACATCGGTTTTAAATATCTTAATACATCTTACTTCATATACGAAATACCCGTGATGGATTTCAGATACATATTATGATTTAATTTTCATCCTACATTTTATCGACGAAGACACCTACATTATTGATTAATTTTTAAAATATGATATTATATTATATTAGTCTTAGAGTATCTCTCGACCAGTCAGGAGCTCAACTAGGTGCCACTTGCTAATCATAATATTTAAACAGTTATTTTAGAGATATCTTTCAATTATTTTTCATAGATACATCATTCTGTATTACTATATTAATATTAGAGCTTCACTACAGTCATTTCTTAGAAATAGAGTCATAAAGTTAAAAAACAGTGCCGGTGAAGGAAGCAATTGAGTTGGAGTAGTGGGGATAGCCGGCAGCAGCCTAATCCTACCAGCTTCCACCCAAACAAACAGGTGTGTCTGTTAATATTATTGTTTTCGTCTACTTTCGTCTTCTCAAAGCAATAGTGATTTATTTTAATTTTATCATTATTATTTTTTTTAATCAACATGGTTAATTGCAAATTGTGTGCAAAAACAGTAAGCCGAGAAGAAAAAACTAAAGTAGTTTGTGTCACGTGTCAAAACTTATTGCACGTGAAATGTACAAAAATCAATTTTACAGACTTAGAAGGCCTAAAAGAGATCAGCAAAAAGTGGAGATGTAGTGATTGCGAGTTATCATCGTGTACGTTGCCAGCTGCGCTGAGTCTAGTAATATACTTGACCTACTGAGAGGGCTGACCGAGGAAGTCAGGGAATTGAGGGTCAAATTTCAAGGGATAGACGAACTGAAGGAGATAAAAGAAGCTCTACAGAAGCAGTCGGAACTCTCATTTGAGAACATGTACCGTTTACTAAAAATAGAAAAACTCTTAGAGGACCAGAAAACCCCTGTTGAAAATTTGACAGTTGAAAATAACAGAATAAAAATAAAAATATCAGAGCTTGAAAGCCGACTAAACTTTACAGAACAATGTCAACTCAAAAATATAATAGAAATAAGAGGCATACTGGAGAAGTCGGGTGAAACTGTAACTGGCACAATTCTTAGCATCGGAGCGGGTCTGGGCGTCAAGCTGAGTCCGGAAGATCTTGATCACGCCGTGAGACTCAAGCCCAAGCAGGGACACCAGGCCCAATTATTGCAAGATTTGTTAGACAGACGGTGAAAGATGATTTAGTGCGGCAACGAAGAACAAAGAGAGATTTCTCCACACATCTAGGCTGGGGAGAGAATGACTCGCACCGCGTATATGTAAGTGAAGCCATGACGCCCACCAATAAACACCTCTACTGGTTAGCCAGGCAGAAGAAATTGACTGCAAAAATAAAATATGTGTGGTTTAATGGAGGAAAAATTCGCTGCAGACAGTCAGATGGATACCCACCGGTGGTTATAGGAAAACCGAGTGATCTTGACGTATTCAGTTGAACGTTGTTTACAAGTTACTCTGAGTCTGCATTTAATTTATTTTTTTTTCGCCAGAAATATTTTTACTTTGTTTTTTTTTATCTTCGCGGCGAATCAAATGGGCTTGTAAAGTTGTTGGACTTAGTAACGAGAGAATTCCTAAAAGGTTAATATTTGCTGTGCCGAATGGTAAACGTCCGAGGGGTAGACCGAAGCGAAAGTGGGAATATTGGATTAAAGCCGATCTGAAGGGACTGGGTTTGGACGGCGAACGGTGGAGGGAGGTAAGCGATTGGGGGTGTCGGCATCGAACCTTCGGGTTCGCTAAGCCTTTTATTATTATTATTATTATTTTTATCTTCAGGTTTTTTTATTTTTATATAAATGTAGCTTTTTTAATTTTTATTTATATTGAAGCTTTTTTTATTTTTTTATACATTTATTTTCGCCAGAAATATTTTTACTTTATTTTTTTATCTTCAGGTTTTTTATTTTTATATAAATTTAGCTTTTTTAATTTTTTTATTCTTATTGAAGTTTTTTTTATTTTTGTATACTTTTATTCTCGACAGAAATATTTTGATTTTAATCTTTTTTACTTTCAGCTTTCTTTATTTTTGTATAAATGATTTACAACTTTATTTGGTTATTTACCGTAATGTATCAATGTATTTAAAACAAGGGGATATTTATATTTTCTTATGCTATTAATTATATTCAACAGAATATTTATTCAACAGAATATTTATTCAACAGAATATTTATTTCAAAATACTGGAAATTCATTGTTTTCATTTCAACTTTTATTTTATGTTTGTAATTTTTTAATATTTTTTTTTATTTTAATTATTTTTAAACGGAGTATTTGTTTAAAAAAATGTTATATCCTATCCTTTATGCTCGATCCTTTTCACCAAACCTCTACTTCTCAACTCTACCATAATGACTAATATTCTGAATTCCTGTCACATCAACGCCCAATCCCTTATTGCACACTACGATGAATTCCAGAAATATTTCCTTGGCAATTTTTACCACATAATATCTGAAACCTGGCTAAAACCTTTTATCCCATCCTCCCAGATTTTCTTACCAAATTACTCGTTCCTACGTCACGATAGATCGCATCGCACGTGAGGTGGTGTCGGATTATATATCCATGACTTATTATTTTTCTTTTATACATCATATATGATAGAAATTGACTAAATATATCCATATAAGAATAAAATAAACGTATATTAATAAATAAATAGTGTATTTTTGTGTATATCTATTTTTAAAAACACTGTAGTTGCAGGAATATTTCCTTTCAAGTTTATCATTATTTTATATTTTATTTATACTTGGTTGATGTAGAATTGGTTTAAGTTGAGAAAAGAACTATATTAAAAAACTGTGCGCTTTATTAGACCACACAGTAGAAGTGAAAAGATCAACAAGCGGAGATTCATAATATGAAATACAAATTATAAATTATAGCCAAATCCAAAGGCCAAAATCCTTCTACAGTCTCCTTATCATGATTTTCCTCACTTGGAATACATGTCCATTGATCCTCTGTTCGTTCCCGCAATACTCGTTCCCAGTCTTCTGATTTATACATAAGGGCCCACCGAACCGCTGCTTTCGACAAATCGTTCATTATCCGATCCTCATCCCTATGAAACTCCATCCCTTCACACATCAGTCAATCCAATACCCTTCCTACCTTTAAATCCCACCTGTTCAATCATTTCTTATCTATCCAATCCCCATAAAATTGTAAATAGATACTACTGCAAATATGTACATAAATTATTAGTCCGTTTTTCATTATTTTTACTCCAATTTTTTTTATCTATTTTTTTTATTATCAACTGATCAAAATTGGAAAGCAACTTATATGTATATGAGTGTATATATTATATATATATTTTTTTTTTATTTTATTTTTTTTTTCATCAAGAATGTTCAATTATTTGTTTAGGGAGTAAAGGTGACATCATTACCCGGGAGGGAGGCGCCGAATATCTAAGATCGGCACTGTCTGTGAAGATAATGATTGTACATTTATAACTAAGTTACGAGTTAGAATATGAAAGTTAACAGTAATTAGTGGTTTTGAGCATTGCGAAATGTTCAGCACTGGAAATAATAAATTTTACAGGTATAGAGCCAGAAAAATGAATATTCCTAAGCTGCAGATATTACGGTTATTGCAGCTTTGTTTGCGGATTTGGAAGCATATGCGCCTTTGTGAATATCTGAATATGGTTGGGGTAATCAGCAGCTATTGAACTGAGAGCCTGGGGTGTCCAGAAGGGCACAAGTTGTGGGGAGGGGAACATTTTGATGGGGTTTTGAATTTTCGAGTGGGATCACATTTCGACGAGGTTGAATTTTCGAAATGAAAACATTTAACCAGGAGACAAGAAACGGTTTTTGAGAAAATCGGAAAAATGCTTAAAATCGATGATATAAAGTGGCACTTCTGGTCAGCCGATTTTCCAGAAAAAGTTACTGTAACATCAAAGGCATATAGCTTTTTAAAATATATAATACCAGTTTAGTATGACCATTTTTGTTTTTTGGCTGCACCGATCTCACATACACACCCAGATCATTTTCCGGGTATTGGTTATTTGGACGCAGGGGATCCCAAAACATGTATTTCTGATGAAAACTCAGAATCAAAAATTTCCTCGATTGAAATACTTTTCCTTAAGATATGTTATATATATAAGTCAGTGAAAGTAAAAATCATACCTGCGTCGATATCTTCTCAGAGCTTCTTTCAATACTTTTAGTTAAAAATCTGTAAGCTTGTGTAAACTGATCCACGGAAACCTTGCTGTTGAGTTGCATAATGCTAGCTTTATCTGATAAAAGTTCATCAAATTCAAATCTATCTAATTTAACAGATTTTAATTTTTCAATGTTGTCTTGTAAAGCCTTGAACAAATAATGGTTTAGATTTGTTATAAGTCTAATAACAGTCAAAATAACAGTTGTAAACTCCCCCCTTCTTCCTCCCCCCTATCTCTCTCTCTCACTCTCTCTTCCTCTCCTTCTCTGTACCTTAGGATAATCCTGTACCAGCGGCACATTTAATTTCCTAATGGAATTATTTTGGCGCAAATTTAATTACTGCTCGGTCACCATGATTGGTAACCAAACGGTCACGGCTCCCACTTTGAACCAAATCCTTGAGCCAAAGTGAGACAAAATTCAGTTTCTTAATTGCATTTCATTGGGGCATTGATAACGGGCATACCTACACTATTGGGATGGCTGGGACTGAAGGCTGTTCTTACCGAACAGAACTCCAGTAACTTCCTGTCTAATTATAGCAGTTTATTTATAATATTATTATTAAATCTTAAAATAACAAGTAGTAAAAACACTAACATTAAATACTACAATAATCTGGTATTTATATATATGTCATTTCACTCCTATAACCTCTCCTTCTTTCCTCTATTTTCTTTCATTTAGATCTTACCTTTCCCTTCAAAAGTTTTGACAAAACGGCTTAATCCGAGAATCCACCAGAACCAGCCAATTGGCGTGAACTCATAAGTAAAGCGTCTGTTTTAACTTTAAAAAGCTAAACAAAAAGCATATGCCTTTTCTCTTTAAAGGCAAGAAAAGAAAAATGTTTTGGGGCCTAACTCGTGAAGTTTAAGTTCTCTGGTAAAATTTATATAGAATCTTGAGTAGGTAATTAAATTACCTACCAAAACAAAAACAATCTCATATCTGATCAGGGGTGTCCAGAAAGGGGTTTCAGGGCGCATCTTGCGCCATAATATTTTTTGAGGGGGCATATTTTGACGGTTTTATATTTTTTGAGGAGGGCAAATTTCGACGGGGTTATGAATTTTCGGACTAAGGGAGAAGCAGAAAAGCATGGAAAATACCACAACAAGTGTAACTATATTTTTCTAATTGTTAGCTTGCTCTGTTTTTAAGAAAAATGAGCTACAAAATATCTTGAGAGGAGGGAGAGGGATCCTTCCAGCGCCATCGACCTTGTGAAGGAGAAGACATGGGTACCCCAGTGTTTGATATCCAGTTCTAACAACCTTTCTATGTTTTCTTTTTCGTACTTTTTCAAATATGCTATTACAACAGAACACGCTGTATCAAGGCCATGTCACATCTCATATCTAAAACCTCATACCTACCAGATGGAATTATAAACAATTTTCTGCTTACTTTCACTTTCTTTCTTCGAAAATTAGAAAAATAATTATTTCACTGCTATTACAATTTGCATATTCTAGGGACATTAGGTAACGCTATACTTTAAAAAGAACACAGGACAAATGCTGTATTAAAATTCCAGTATATAATATTTGTAGTTAGTAATGTAACCAATTTATCTCACTACTGCTAGTATCAAGATGGAATGCCTATAGTTATCAGTATGAAATAGATCTATTGGATCCATCCAGAAGAGATAAAGTAGTTTCACTACTATACAGAAATACCTGTCAAATAGCAGTATTAATTTCACCTTTAATATAACTTCATGGCTTTTTATATCCTTCAAAATAGAATTTGTTTGAATATCTATCATTTCTATTGTTCCATCCAACGAATCAGTTTTTTTGACTAACTTTTCAATTATTTCATCCTGAAACAAAGTACATTTAGTTTACCTTTCAAGTATAAATTGATAATTTGGTTGAAATAAGGGCTCATACAGATTACTCATAGAGATTTTTGCATAATTATCTATAAGTCATACATTGTTTTATTCAGTTTCTCTCTCTCTCTCTCTCTCTCTCTCTATATATATATATATATATATATATATATATATATTTTTTTTTTTTCTATTGATTTTCTTGATTTTATAAAATGATCCAATAATAATTTTTTTTTTTAATATTGGTTATATATAAGGTACCTATATATAACAAAGAAGGATTTCTCCAAATTCAAAAATTTTGCATAGTATAGACATTTTTTTTATTTAATCATGATATTTAAATAATTTTATTAAAATATAAATACATCAAGTAAATGTGGACACAGGAATATAATGGTATGAAAACACTTTTTGAGAAATTACCCACTGGTATCACACTAATAATATTTGTACATAAAGAGATCACGATACCATATTTTTTTCAGACACTGGGGGGTTAACTGGAATTGAAGAGGAAGCAAGGTTAGAAACGAGAAGGTTCGGATGATTCTGAAGTTTATTATGGAACGATAGGTACCTGGGTTGGGCCAAATCGGAAATATATATGCATAATTTATTCCATTAAGGCCGTTATGGGTGATTTTATTTTTTATAAAGTAAGGAGCATTGAGGATTTTACGAAGGATTTTGGAGTGAAAGGGTTGGATACGAGAAAAACTCGATTTTGTGGAGCCCCAATGCTCAATTCCGGAAGTCTAAATAGGACTTATTCTAGTCATGTATATGAGTCTTTTGTTGTTGTTTTGGGTTTAGGGGAAAAAAACTGCTGATGGTTAGCATGTTCTTCCAGTTGTACTGATTGATTTGTTTTTCAATCTTAAAACTACTATTATAAAAGTTAATACCTTTTAAAAAGGCATAATATATATATATATATATATATATATTCAGAATAATATAATATATCCTAATATATAATATATCCTAATATATAATATATCCTAATAATATATCCTCGCGCGGGCTCATTACCGCGTATGGGGAGCGTCCCACGGGTGGTGGATGTGGGGATGGTCGGTGGAAATTCCTTGGAAGTTCCTCCCGGCTAAGTCCGATGGATTCGCTGACCAACAATGAGAGGGGCCCTCCAGACTTGCTGGAGGGAGGGGACCTCCAGACTTGCTGGAGGTAGGGGCCCACCAGACTTGCTGGAGGGTGTGACGTAGGATTGAACGCCCTACTCACATATCTTTAGTTCACCAAACACCACAAATAGTCATGGATCTCCCTAAGGTAAAACGCTCATTATCCGGAAGTAAACTAGTCCCCCGTTCGGGTCTCCGGGTGGGGACTGCTTTAGGGGATTCATGGCGCAAGTTCAAACATAGAGATTTAAATATTGGAACGTGGAACGTAAGGAGTTTAAACACAGCAGGGGGGCTAAAATCGGTCGCGAATGAGGTGAATGGGTACAATTTGGATGTCGTGGCTCTGCAAGAGGTTCGCTGGCCAGGGGAGGGCTCGATGAGGGAAGGAAAGTACACTATTTGGTACGGAAGAAGCGGGAATCATTGTTTAGGTACCGGGTTTCTAATTAGGAGTAGATTACTATCCGCTTTGAGGGACTTACAATTCTTTAGTGATAGAATTTCGGTAGCTACATTTCAGGGACGTTGGTTTAAAATCGCATTAATAAACATACATTGTCCGACCGAAGACAGTGACGATGAAGTCAAAAGTGAATTTTACGATAAACTCGAATGGGTTTATGATAAACTACCGCGAAACTACATGAAAATAATTGTAGGTGACGCGAACGCAAAGGTAGGAAGGGAAGAAGTTTATATTCCGACGATTGGTAAAGAAAGTTTGCACAAATATAGTAATGATAATGGGATCCGTCTGATAAACTTTGCCATCTCGAAAAACCTGATAATTAAAAGTACGACGTTTAAACATAAGGATATTCATAAATATACTTGGACATCACCGGATTCGCAAACACGAAATCAAATCGATCATGTCTTGATACAACACAGCTGGCAAAGCAGTATAATTAATGTACGGTCTTATCGCGGAGCAGAATGTGGGTCGGATCATGAATTAGTAATCGCGAAACTTCGACAAAAACTTAATATAAAAAAGAGAAAAGAAAACCGTTTCGATTTTGAGAATTTTAATTTGGAAAAATTAAAAAATCCATCAATTAGAAACCAATTCGAGCTAGATGTTAAGAATAGGTTTGAAGCTTTAGAGCTTCCTGACGAGGACCACGGGGATATTGACAAGTTATGGATAGAGATCAGGGATAATATTAAAGCGGTCGGTAACTCGTGTCTAGGAAAAAAGGAAAATAAGAATAACAAACCGTGGTTTGATGAAGATTGCTTAAACATGTGTGAAAAAAGAAAAGCCGCTAAATTAAAAGCTCTAAATAATCCTAGCGAAGACAATCTGGAATACTTCCGAATCTCAAAGAACGAAACGTCAAAATTGCTCAAAAATAAAAAAAGGGAATATCTTAAAAATAAAATAATTGAAATAGAAACTAATAGAATCGAAAATAACGTAAGAGACATGTACAAAGGTATAAACAGATCACGTAAATATGTAGGGCCCGTAACGTCTGGAATTAGGGATGATAATAACAATATTCTGACCGATCCGGTTGACATATTGAATAAGTTTAAGGACCACTTTGACAATATTTTAAATACGGGAAATTATGATCTGTGTCCTCCTTCTGAGTACCAGAGTGCTGAACCGTTAATAGAAGGACCAAGTAAAGAGGAAGTTGAAGTAGCTATCGGAAAATTAAAATCATATAAAGCAGCGGGAATCGATAATATTCCTACTGAACTAATTAAGGCATGCGGGGAAGCTGGAGTTTCTAAAATACATCGGTTGGTTAAAAAGATCTGGGTGAACGAGAAATTACCTGAAGAATGGAAAGAATCTATTCTTATTCCGATTCACAAAAAGGGCCCGAGGACGGATTGTAATAACTATCGAGGAATTTCACTCCTTCCGGTATGTTATAAAATATTTACTTTAATCTTAACCAGTCGAATCACGGAATACGCCGAGGAAATTATCGGAGACTACCAATGCGGATTTAGACGGAATCGTTCAACTATTGATCAAATATTTTCTTTACGGCAAATATTAGAGAAAAAATTGGAGTATAACGGTATTGTTCACCAGCTGTATATAGATTTTAAAAAGGCTTACGATTCTATTGACCGCCAGAAACTGTATAATATTCTAATCGAGCAGGGGATTCCAAAAAAACTAGTGAATCTAGTCAGGATGTGCTTGACGGAGACACTCAATAAAGTTAGAATCGGTAATAATTTGTCCGAAAAATTTGAGGTTCGTTCGGGCTTAAAACAGGGGGATTCTCTTTCGCCTGTCCTGTTCAATTTGGCATTAGAACATGCCATTAGAGAGGTAATGCGAACCGAGAAAGGGTTGGATCTGGGCGGGACAACATCCGTGCTGGGCTATGCTGATGATCTGGTACTGTTAAGCGAAGACGTTGAAACTATAAAACTAAATACGACAACGTTAATGAAAGCCGGTAAAGAACTAGGACTCGAAATAAACGTGGATAAAACAAAATATATGGTTAGCTGCAAAAATGGCGATACTACTGGTGATATCGATATAGATGGTAATATGTTTGAACAGGTAGATAAATTTAGGTATCTAGGTTCTACGATAACTAGAAAAAACGAAATTGAAGAAGAGATTAAGGTTAGACTGAAGGCGGGGAATGCTTGTTATTTTTCTGTGACAAAACTACTTAGTTCGCGCCTCTTGTCCCGAAACTTAAAAATTAGAATCTATAAAACAATTATCTTGCCTACAGTTCTTTATGGATGCGAAACTTGGCCGCTTACATTAAGGGATGAGCAGCGTCTTAAGGTTTTTGAAAATAAAGTATTGCGTAGAATATTCGGACCGAAGAAGGATGAGTTAACCGGAGAGTTCAGACGGTTACACAACGCCGAATTGCGTGAGCTGTATCCGGGTAATATAATTGAGGTAATTTCATCGCGGCGAATCAAATGGGCTTGTAAAGTTGTTGGGCTTAGTAACGAGAGAATTCCTAAAAGGTTAATATGTGCGGTGCCGAATGGTAAGCGTCCGAGGGGTAGACCGAAGCGAAGGTGGGAAGATTGCATTAAAACCGATTTGAAGGGACTGGATTTGGACGGCGAACGGTGGAGGGAGGTGTGTAGTGGGCGATTGGTGGTGTCGGCATCGAACCTTCGGGTTCGCTAAGCCTTTTATTATTATTATTATATATATATATATATATATATATATATATATATATATATAAATTATTATCGAGAAGAAAAAGAAAAGAAAAAAAAATGTAGAGTATACAGAAATTAAGTCAATATATCGTAAATTCGTGAGAAAAAATAATTTAGTTCAGATTAGTTGAATTAGCCCTATGTTCTTAATGAATTTAATGGTACTATCGATACGTTGTTCGTTATCTGTTAGTGCTTCACAGAGCTGACGAGGTACACCACGTCTCCACTTCCATTTCTCTCCTGTAGGGAGGACACTCCTCAAAGATATGGCTCTCTGTGAGAGTCACTTTACAGAGTTGACACAGAGGTGGATCTTCCCTTGCCATCAGGTAGCCATGGGTCAACCAGCAATGTCCAATTCTGAGGCGTGTGACGACTACTTCCTCTCTTCTACACTTCCTGGAGGACGAGGCCCAGCAACTGACGGTCGGTTTGATTATCCTCAGTTTATTATTATCTTTTCCGCTACCTAGGACTCCACCTGGACAAATGTCTAACTTAGAATCCTCATACCAGACTGAAACGAAAAGAAACCGTCCGACATTTCCGATTACTTCAGCACTTACTAGACAAACACTCTAAACTTCTAATTCATTACAAAAGACTCATTTGCATGATTATAATAAGGTCTATTTAGACTTACGGAATTGAGTTATGGGACTCCACTAAACCATCGAATTCCTCTCTTATCCAATCCTTACAATCCAAAATCCTTCGTAAAATCTTCAATGCTCCCTACTTTGTTACAAACAAAACCATCCATAATGACCTTAATGTTTCTTATGTTTCAGATCTGGTCCAATCCCGATACCTATCCTTCCATAATAAACTTCAGCATCATCCCAACCCTCTCGTTTCTAACCTTCCTTCCTCTTCAATTCCTGATAACCCTCCGAGGTGTCTGAAAAGAAGATGGCCTCGTGTTCTCCTAATGTAGACATATCATTAGAGTGCAACCATTGGGTAGTTACTCAACAAGTGTTTTCACGTCATTATATTCAAATGTTCAAATTTACTAAATGTATTTCTTTAATAAAGTTGTAAATATCATTAAGAAATAAAAAATATATTCTCCTACGTGGTCCAGGTCTGTTGCCATTCATTAAAAATATTTATGTTCATTGGTTTCAATAAATTCTTATACTTATTCTCATATACTTCCAGTGAATGGGCTTCTGTTGCTGCTCTATCCACTTTCTCATTTCCAAAGATCCCAGAATTAATGGGGACCCAGAGCAAATTTTTTTATTTTTTTACGAATCTTCAATTTGTTTTATGGGATAGTGGATTTCTTGTACAAGTGGGGTTTCTGAAAATAAATTGTAAAGAGGGCACTCAGTGAGTCATACAATTATTGACTGTATCGTTGATGACTGGGCTAGTTCTAGTGCTTTTAAAATTTCTATCAGTTCGGCTGTGAAAATATTGCAAATACTCTCCAGTTTGTATTTTATAATTTTACAGCACACAATGTTGACTCATTTGTTTTAGAACTGTCTGTAAATATGATAATTATTAAGTTCGGCTAGGAGAGTTTGACAGATGGGAAACATTTTTTGCCTTGGAGACTTTCAACATATTACTGTTTACTTGAGGAGGTGATACTGTTCATGGCGATAGCTTTCTTCCTAGTTTTGTGTATGGATACTGAATTAGTTCAGAGATAACCCATCTCATTCTTTGCCAAAGTGGATGGAAGGAATATTTCAATCTTGCGTATTTGTCGACGTTATTCTGATGGAATATAGAATTGTAAGCAGGGTTTTCTGGTTGGGTATATATTTTCGTAATATATTTGGGACCCAGCTGTTGGCCGCGATATAAAAGAGGTACTATTACAGCATCCAGGCAAAGACTGTTTGGCGGACTTGCTTTGAAAGCTCCAGTGGAGAGGGGTATGGTGGACTGCATCTAGTTTTTTTTTATTATGACTTGCGTAGGCGTAGATAAAGCAATCAATTTTAATAAGGATTATTGCTTGGTCTAACCAGAGCATAATCTTCCTGTTCTGATCCCCATCTGACGTTACCTTATTTCTTCATTAGACTCATGGTCTTGGATTTGAGTTGTTCTATATGCATAAACCAAGTTAATTAGTTATCTAGATGTAGACCTAAAAACCTATCTGGATTGTGTAAAAAAGTGGGACGTTATTCAAAGTGATTTGGGGTGGAATACTATATTTCTTAGAACGACTGAAGTGTCGGGTCTTATCTGTTGAGAAATTAAATGTTCTTTATGACCACAATGCTAAACAGTTTACTGTATCCTGAAGACAGGGCTTAACGAATTAAAGGTCATGTGATTTGCTGAGGATTGCAAAATCAGCAGCAAATAAATAAGTTGTAATATTTGGTGTCCAAATCTCCTCTCCCCTCCAACATTCCTCCTTTAAAATGTGAATATGAATCAATATTTAGTTCACTGACTCATATCAGACAGGTTATTGGATATAAAAGACAATTTCATATGATAAAAAATGAAAAATAGTTTAAATTTGTTCACACTTTGAAAATAACGTGCTCCTGGATGATTATGAAGAGGAAACAAAAAACGAAAAAAGTGGGAAAAATTAGCAGTTTTTGAAATTTTCAAAAGTGATCCGAGGGGGGGAGCAAGTTCGAAACCTTGGATTTTGCATCTCTGTCACATCCCATACAAGAAAATAAAAAGAAACCTTCTACATTTGATGCAACTTACGATGTACAAGTGTACGGAGCTAATAACTGATTTTGACAAAAAAAATATTTTGCCTTCTGTTGTTTAATGTCTTTTGAGTCATTGCTTATACCAGGCAAACTATCCATCGCATCGACAAAGACGATCTATACAAAATGAAAGCTGATAAAACTTGCAATATGATTGATAATATACCGTTTTTTGCTATCTCGCTTAGTTTCCGATGTGTCCGTTCTCAGTTATGGCTAACTTTGAAAAAAAAAAAAAAAAAATGTTGCCCCGTGTTTATTTATGTTTATCGAGTCTTTCCTTATATGAGGAAAACTATCCATTACATTGACAAAGACGGTGTGTAAAAAATCAAAGCTGATAAAATTTGAAATATGATTGATAATATACCTTTTTTCACTACCTCGCTTAGATTGCGAGATATCCGTTCTCAACTATATAGCCCAGTAACCATGTCATGAAAAGGGGGGAGGGTAGAGGTGTAAGTTGCATCGAATGGGGGTAGAAGGTTTCTTTTTTTTTTTCTTATGTGGGATGTGACTGAGATGCAAAATACAAGTTTTCAAGACCGAAAATCTGCTTGTGACGCTTATGCTGCGAACGGACAAATATTGGAAAGTTGTGAAGAAATTCGGCAGAGTTGTTCTGAAGAAATTTAGAGAGGAAGAAGGAATCAGTAGAGGGCTTTAGCCAGAAGATAAATGATTCACGACGATTAAATCGACATAATAAAATGAGACGGCATATTGCCATCCCCGTCTATGACATAATGCCTAACGGCGGTTCCTTGGAAGGAAATGAATAGATGAATGGGGGTTGGTTTTAGAGGGTGCGAATAGGGACTGGTCTATTCGTGTCTTTTGAAGATTTCCATCTACCCACATAACCTACCACCATCTACACCACAAAAAAAAAAAAAAAAAAAAAAAAAAAAAAAAAAAAAAAAAAAAAAAAAAAAAACTGCTCACGCACACACTGAAACCATTTTGCGGGTCTTGGTTATTTGAACTCAAGAGACCTCAAAACTTGTATCTCCGTTGAAAACTCAGATTAGAAAATTTTCACGATTGCAATACTTTCCCTTACTATATATTACATATAGAGGTCAGTGAAAGTAAAAAAATCCTACATTACAATTCCTAACTTTACTGCGGTCTCGAATGAAAAGTCCCCCAAAGATAAAAATATTGAAATAAATTTACGTATTAAGCAGTATGTCTTGTCATTCTAGACTGTATTTATCTATTTTAGAAATTTATAATTTTCTGATTAGTTTTCTTAGCTCGAAGATGAGTAACAAGAATCATTTCAAGATACCTTTGTGCCTTAGCAAGATACCTTGCCTTTTCTTTGCGCAGAAACAGTTCAATTAAAAATCTTATTTAAAAATAAAAAAGAATATTAGTATTAACAAAATTGGAAATCGACAATCAAATTTATTATCTTGGACATCTATACTTATATTTCAGAATAACATTTCGTCAAAACGTTGATATTTTTTAATCAAAATTTCTAGATTCAGAAATGCTAACTGGTCAAATTATATAAGAATGACCAAAGAAAGTGTTTCTAAAAAAGAGCCTCTTTAACTGGAGGCTCGTTAAAAAAATTGAATTATTATGTTCTTTCTTTTTAAATGGACTTAGCTTGGTTTAACGGCTTAAAGGCATCTTTAAATGGAACCAACAATGACAAACTCAACTTTCATTGGAGGTAAATTTCCTCTAGTTTACTGTAAAAAAAATTGTTAATTACTTAAATTTAACATGACACTTAAAAAAATTACAAAACTTAAATTCCCTACTGTCCTGCAGAAAAATAGAACATGGTTTATGGTTTAACTTTTTTGTAGCTTAGGTCTTCTATCACTTCTTTAAATATTTTTCTTTACTTTTGGGACACCCCTGTATAAACACAGCCGTTCTATTTTATAAAATTCACCATAATTGCTATGGAATCAAATAAATGTATTTATTATCATTTTATAAATTTTAGTTAAATGTGTTTGTATATTTGTATCATATAACAGAAGGTGACCGATTCGCTTCGCTTTGATACAGGTTTCTGGGTTCAAATAGAAACAGGAACAGGAAGCTTTCAACAGGATTTATCATAAAATGGTCATGTCTTTTGAACTTTATTAGAAGAACGAAAATATTTAAGACAGAGATGGAGGCAGTATAGACTATTATTGGCATTATTGTCTCTGAGGTTGGCAAAAAGGATCTATAGACCCACTTGCTGGACTCAGACCCCCACGTGTTGTGGGGTACCCAGCACCAGAATCAGTACGTGTGTTGTTGTGAACCTACACATGTGAGTCTTAGTCTATTTATCAAACAATGAAGTTACTTTGTTAAAGAAGTACTGACCTTATCTTTATTATCTTCCAATTGCAGCAGATTGACGTTTTTCATCGTGTCATCCAAGCCGATTTCTAGTTGTTCGATCCTTTCTAACAGATTCTTAACGTTTTCTTCTTGCACATCATCTTGAAGTTGAATTTTCCCAGCATATTTTGAAATCGTTCCTTCAATATTATCAATTCGATAACATATTTCCATATGTATGTCAATAACTTTTCGTTTCAAACTTTTTGTCTTTTTATACTCTGATGGGCTCAAATGAATTTCTCTTATCTACATTAAATCAACAAGAGTTTTATTAGAACAAAACTATTCACCCACCCATCTTTTCATGTCATAATAAAGACATTTTATTTCACCTTTTCTTTCAAAGCTTCAATATTTGGTGTGTTTCGAACCAGCTCTGAGAGTATGATTTCTGTAACAGACACTATGTTGAGAAAAGACTTGGAAGAAGATGAAAACTTTTTATTACTACAGTAACTTATTTTGCTAATTTCAGTTTCTTTCGATTTTTATATAACTTAAGTATACGAAAATTGTTTTATTGATATTCATATACAATATAATAATAAATAGGTGCACCGTGTAAATGATCTTTATGTGTAGAAATTAAATGATGAAAATTCAGCGTGTTTATGCGCTATCCATTGGGTGGTAGGTAGCAGTTCAATTCATGCCTCGGTTTTTGAGAATACAAATTTATATTTCAAAGAGATATCATGCTGAAGCTATTTCTTAGTTGCCGATGTAAACATAGAAGAGGTAGCATCTACCCGTCATTGAGTTACCCGGACATCTATGAAAGCTGGAAAGTTAAAGTGTAAGTAGACCTCAATCGCTATTAAGAAAATCGAGAATCAGCCATATGAAAAATGAAGAAAAAAATATGTGTATTCCGATTCTCAATGATTACAGAAGACTTAATTGTTGAAGGAATATCCGTACAAAGCAAAACCTAACACACCCTTGTACGCCTTAATCATGGAAATGCTAACGCCCCCTTGAACATAGTTCCATCAGCCATCCATCGCTGAGGCGACATACATCAAGTATCATTCATTCTCAGAAAAGGAGATTTAGAGAAGAATGAACATATTTATTTCGAAAATTTTAGCCAAATTGGAATTTGAATTTAAATCATACCATGCCTTTTTAGGTTCCACAACCTAATCTTAACTCTCAAAGCGTTAATAGTTTGTTGCTAGTAGTCCCAACACCTCATTTTACTACCCAACCTTTCATCATCGGGACTTGGTCATTTTTAATTTTTAATTATATGATGACCATAAATCCACGCTCCCTTTTTAATCAGGTGATTACTACTCTAAACACGTGAGTCCTCCAAACCATCCCTAACATTCCAATCACAGAGATAGATCAATGCGTTTATCCTTTCTGCCATTGTTTTTTTATACTCCATTTCGTTTTGCGGACTAAAAATTGTTTATTTACCTATGTTTGAGAAACTTTATGCTTTTTATGGGACTGAGAATGACCAAACTCAATTTTAGTTTTTCTTCGACTCGATGGACATAACGCTTTGTATGGGACTGAATGTGCCGGGCCGCCATTCTATTCCAGTAACCTCAATGTCTGCCTATCTCTTTGTTTATAATTTTTTATAATCTTCACATAAATTGATAACCTTCATAATGTTAACTTTTTCCTATCTATAAACAAGTTCTTTTATATCTAAGTGACGACAGTGAGCTCTTAATTAATGCTATATGTATTTTTAATCTTTCAAAGTGTAAAATTTTCACAGACCAACTTTAATTTCCACTTCTACTAAATAGATGCGGATCTACGGTGGGAGGAGGAGAGAAAGGAGAGGGCTTTCGGACTGAAGCTCTCCCCGAAATGTTAAAACATAACCATGTCTTATGAAATAAATATTAAAAACCTATCTGTAAAAGTATTATTGTTTGTGAAATTACAATTAATAGAACTTCAAGAATCAATTAAATACCATTTCATGTAGGTAATTACTTATTTTTTTTCTTTTTCTACCAAAGTAGTAATCCTTATTAATAAAAAAAATTCAATCCCCAAGCCCCCCAAAATTCAATCCTGGATCTACTAGTGCCGAGGTCCAAGATTCACATCCCTCTTGAACTTCCAGGGAAACAAACATACAATCAACAAAGATACATTTCTCTGTTTGAAATCATCAACGATCGTCATTCCTCGTCTATCATGGTCCTAACTAAACAGAAGAACGAAACACCTAGCATTATACAATTAATGCTTAACAAATACTCCTAAACTGGGGCAGGAAGCGTTTTAACTTATTTTTGGCTAGGTAACCTGTTTGATATAAATTTTCTTTTTGACGGTTTTTCCTGCCTGAAATTTCTTATGGTAAAGATATTTTTTGGATATCACTTATTTTAGAATTTTTTTGTTAATCAATAGAGATGGGCAACTATTAAAGGATTTGTTTTATTTTTTTATCACCTCTAACTTTTGTCAGAAGTAATGAAATATATCTTATTAAATAATGGATGGAAGAGGGTGTTCCCATAAACACGTACAGTGTCACAAGTATTTGGAATAAGTAATAATGAATCGTAATATTTCCATGTAAGGTTTATTATTTTTAACAATGGAATATCAATTAACTCGATTTTATCGAGACTTATTGCCGTCACCAGGTCCATGAACTTTGAAGTATGAAGGTCCTGATTATTATCAAGATCATGTAAACTGAGGAAATTCATTTTCTCTCACTAATCTCAAAATTTCGTGAATGCCTGTAGCATCGGACCCACTTTGCTTGAGAAAAAACAATAAGGGTTTGAAACTTGTAACTACTGCTAAGTATTGTAAACCTCTTAAATGTGTTAAAAGTCCTGTAGCTTATAGTCCGTGATTCAGACCACTTTTTGTCAAATTATTAATATCCGCCTGAAACTTCATATATATTTCCATCTCATCATAACCTATAAATGTTTTATTAATGAAAATTTTATTCTCGGAATTGGGGCGTCTTCAATCTGGAGGTCGGCAAACTTTGTCTATTTAATTAGGTACTAAAAACTCGTAAATATCCATTGGGTTTCCATATGGATCATAAGATAATTTGATCATAAAATCTAGAAAAAAATTGGTCTTTAATTGTATTTGGCCGTTTGGCAAACATAACGTTGTTATATTGACAGTTTGGGGGTGTAGGTCACTCAAAACGACTCAATATTTTTTAAAGCCACATTTTTTCTCGACTTTGGGCTCAAATCATCTTACGATTCAAGTGGAAAGCAAATGGGTATATACGATTTTTTAGTGTCTAATTAAATAGACGAAGTTTGCCGATGTCCAGATTGAATACGCCCTAATTCTGAGAATTTTTGCAAATAAAATTTGTAGGTTACGATGAGATAAAACTTTTAACCAAGTTTCAGGCAATTGTTAACAATTTGATAAAAATGGGTCTCTGCCACGGACTTATTTAACTTATTACAAACCTCTTTCCACACTTTTGATCGTTGACCAAATGAATGATTCACATTAGTCTAGTCAAATTAGTCAAAGAGAAATAAGATAATTTTGGATTGTACGATCTTAATTGGCAGGGACGGAACCAGTGGTAAATAAGTAAATCCTTAAGGTACTGTCCGCCGTGCTGAATGATTAAAATCGATTTCATATTTAGTTGAATAGAAAGGAGCATATTTCTTTGGTACTGCTCGGTAATATCCATACGGGCGTAATATCTCCCTAAAACCCCTACTCTACCTCCCTGCTGATCCTTTAATTCTGTACCAGTACCGGCATTAGGATTGGACAACCTGTACCATTGCCAGTGGGTACCAAGCTGGTGGGGGGGGGGGGGAGACACAGCGACCATAGAGTGGCAAAGACCCCAATCTTCAAGGTGTTCTAATAATTCAATTTTCCTATGTTTTTAATGTGGGGCATAGTTAACTCATATACTCATATACATTCATGATTAAAAACATTGATTTCAATATTTTTCAATAAAGAATAAATAAAAAGCTGTTTCTATCAAACTAATTTTGCAACTTGTATATTTATATACAATAGGTGGAGGAAGGTAACCTTTTTATCATTATAGGCCCCAGTATGGTTAGACAGTTTATTTAGGCAATTTATCACTAAATACACAAACCTATATACATATATTCATCTAAAATCAGATTAATTTTCAAATTTTCGAGACTTAAATAATTAAATATTTACTAATTCTTACGCTAGATCACGCAAAAACGTTTGGAAGCCGCGCCTACGTCACGCAGGCACAAATAATAGCCAAATTGTATATTGACAGCCATACTGCAAAAGTCTATAAAAACAAAAACTAAAAATTTTCAAGATTCGAAAAAAAACTTCCTAATTATTGTTCTATGAGCATTATATTTTCGGTTCAGTTTTATTTACTGGCCTAAGGCCAAGATGTGATGCTCTATAATTTTTTTATCGCATTTCTGCCAAATAATCTTTTAGAGCCATTAATTATAACTTACAGCTTTTTAGTTACTTTGAAAAAATTTATTCGTCAGGTAAAAGCAATCAACTTTACAGTAGTAACACCCATAACTTTGTTGATAATGATCAAAGCAAGACTGGAACAACCTCAGTTTCCAAAATGTAGAGAAACGATACTTCAAATGAAAAATTGACTGGAAAACGATTATTTACAGGTTGACCACAGGTTATTTACATTTTTGTCTTCTACTGTAGGGACGGCTCGAACGGAGTGCATGAACCCCATTTTGGAGTAGTCTTTGAAAGATTCGTTTTTAACGTACTCTCCTTCATATGGACGTGGTTTGATACACGAATGCTTGGTTCTAAATCCTGCCGATGTGTAGATTACTTCGTTTCTGAGCTTCTTGCGATTTCGAAGATTCATTGGTTTGAAAAAATACTCTCGTCTCTCACTATCTGGAATTCGGCAACATTGTAGCTTTTTCCCACTCAAGCTCAGTTTGCAGTTTCCAGGAGGTTTCGAAAACCGTTCAATATTATATTCCCACTGAACACTTTCTTCTTTGCTTCGTCTAGTTCCATGGTAAGCGGTGCTGGCCTCAGGGAAGGGGAACCCGAGCATTTGCCGAGATGTGCGGGGCTGGAGGTGCCCATCACTTGCAATTTACTAAGCGTTTGAGGAAAATTAATTTTAGTCTATTAATAAAGCTAATTGATACTGTATAGTCTATGTGCAAAACGCTTTATACATTCTTTATTTACTTGACCACCTTTCATTGCGTTCTTTAGGTAATGATACAATCTCTATAATCATTACAGTAACCGTTACAAAGTTTTTTAAATCACAATTTGCTGGTTTTTAGGATTTTACAAAAGGCCATAGAGAAGAAATGAAACGCCGTAGATTCCATTTTGTGAGATCAGAATATGCTCCAGGACAAGATTGACCAGGAAAGCTCAAAACCT